ATCCCTCTAAAGTGTCTGTGTTCAATTCGAGAAATCGCTCCGAATACTTTAGCGGGCACAAATGTGTTGTCAATTGTAGGAGACGTCAGTTATTGTTAGTGGTTACAAATAATAACAATCTACATAAACATCGAATAAGAATATTAATTATTGATTGCGAGGCTTAATTATTTATCCATACAGATAAATCACTACTATTTTCACAACCTCTAAGCCGCACAAGTCGTTCGACCACACTACAGTGGACAAACAAACGCCAACGCGTGCGCGAAATTTGCAAAGCCCACGCGTGAGTCGAATGTCGAGTGGCGACGCGCGGCATGCCAATATTGGCAAGCACATCTCGCAGCACTCGCGATGTGTGCATTTTAGAGTTTTAGACCTTATTTCTTGAGTCTTAACAAAAATGTTAGAGTGACTTCGTGATTTGCATTCATTATATATCCATTATAGATCCATTGGTCATCAATAAAGATTGATCAATTTCAGTAAAGCCGAACGTAAGAAAATTTTGTTACGGCCTCCAAGTGCAAGGTTATCACTTCCGTCTGTTATGATCGGAGATCTAACTACGTATAGTACAGAAACTTCAAATAGATAATACCGCCCTCTAAAATGCGATATTTTGTTGTATTTTGTTCTGTACTTTTGATGTGTAACTCTTTCCCTACGAAGGTGTATTAAGAATAGAAATGTAGTAAATGTACGTAAAAATATGAGTATTTTGGTTTTATTCCTAATAGTTCCAAGATTTGAAAGGAAGGTGTTATAAATAATAACGCACACACTCAACATAGCCCCGCACTAGGGAAACCCTGTGTCGCGGGTGCCATGGACACAAACATAGACAACCACAAATTACACCCAAACTCACGAGAGAAATAAATGTAAGCCATACAAACATTTCTCCCGGCCCGGGAATCGAACCTGGGACCTCTGCGTGGCAGTCCGGCATGGTAACCATTCGGCCACGGAGGCAGTTAAATAAAAAAAAAAATTATCCATTCTACGCATATCCATTGAAGTTTAGGCGATATTGTTCTCTGCCTTTTCAAAGAAGATTGCGCGGCAGGAGCGTGACGTCACATTCGACGATTAGAACTACTAAACTCGATTCGCAAATACTTAAGAAACAAAATTATAAGCAACTTGTTACAACGCTCAAAAGCCATTACAGTACGCTCGCACAATGGCAATGAAGCGGTCGTTAAGTTGCGATTACATAACAATTAAGCTGCGAGCTGTAATCGCGATTTATGCGCTTCATCAGCGCCAGGCACGTCTGCGCCTGCGCATTGGGGTGGGGCACGTGATGATAAATATATCGATACAGTCATCTTTGATATCCACATGGCAACTTTAATTTTGACACACATTGCAGTGATACAATTTTGTTAATAGATTGTTGCACCCTTTTAACATCTTACCTATCTATGTAGCTACACTCGTTATGGGACGGAGCAAGAGACTGATCACAATTGATTTATTGCGCTTCCGTCCGGCACCAGTGACACCATGGATGTGCTTATGGCAGTCAAGCAGTACACCTAAAGTAATAAATCTATCGATGTTGACGACTCATAGCTAAACTCTAATCATCACGGTGTACCCTCTGACCGCGGCGGCGGCGCAGGCGGCGGTGCAGGCGGCGGCGCAGGCGGCGGGCCTCGGGCCGCTATTGTACCACAACACAATTAACGGAACGGTAAACTTCGCCGCCTGTCGTCACGTCACGCAACTCGAGCCGCTGATTGTGATGAATTAAATTTAACGCAAAATACTGCAAAATCAAGACGACGCGCTTTTTGTTTCCACGGATTTTTGTTTATTAGAAATTTTTGGCTCTGCACAGGCTTTCTTGCGTAACACGTTTGGTTAAAATGTATGTCACTATGCGACGGTGAGTGGTCACCGTTAATCATCAAACAGAGTTAACAATATTGTTTAATTTACGAGTGTCGAGCAAACGCAAACAATACTAACGGTTAACACACATAAGTTTACATACTGACGAGGGCATACTTACTCGGCGAACGAGATCTGATATTTTTATCTTATTTAATACTGTTTTCCTACAAATCAATAACACAATATGACCTCGCTGCCTCGCTGCCCCATCGTTCCACTTCTATGCCGCGCTCAATTTACACGTGTACATATGCATCTAATGGGCATTACCCTTCGCCAAACTCTGTACTTAGGTTAACGGTACTATATTTTTTAATCAATAACTTTCAATCCAAAAATACCCACTGCCCTCGAAGGTCGACCTCCGCCGTTTCCCACGGCCCCTTCCCACACCGCGATGTGGCTTGGAGCATAATACCATACTATTACATTGGTATTATATCACCGAGCTTTGCCCGTATATTATCATATTAACTAGCACCATTATCTGGTTTTGTTTGAGAACACGTCGAATTTTTGAATCGCCACAATATTTGATGAACGTAACGTTGAAATAATTGAAAAATCTTATTATAATTTGAAGGAAAAATTATATTCTCATTGATGAATGTAGAGTAGGTATTAAGGGTGATAAGAAATAACAACTTTAGCACAAAGATAAAAAATATCGACAACGACAATTAACATTATTTCGTTTCACAAAATACAACCTTTTATTCCAAATTCTTTGTTGTCACTCTTCCACTTCTCTTCCCTTGCATTCCTAGCGAACTCATAATTCATTTGAAATACAACATAATTCCTTATCTATTTTCGTAGTTATATGAGTAAAGAGAATATTTGGTGTGAAATAATAAACATAAACGTTAATTCTAACAATGGGTTTGTTAACTTGTGTGACGAAACGAGTAATTAAATTTGAGCGATTAAAGAGGCGGAGGTTTCATCGATATCTTAAAAAAAATCTACATTAATTATCTAGTACGTAACTACACTATCACCTTTGGCTATATATATCTTGTGCACATTCCTTAAAAGATAAGAAAGTGACTGCTTGTGCACTCGGTATATATCAAAATGAGGAAATTATGCGTATGAAGATACGACATTTCTTCAAAGGAAACTTCTTTATTAAACCTTAACAAGAGAGGTGGTACGAATAAATGTAATGCAAATCGAAATTAGCACAGCAATAAAAAATTATAAATCGGAGTATATCATGGTTGAACGGTTCAATCTTAGATGTTGAACTAAGAAAAGGACCATCCAAATATTTACGTTAATGTTTACTATTTCAAAGAGGAGCAATAAATCGCAGTAAAGTTTACTACTAACACTTTTATAGCACACAGCACAGCACAAGTCTTAGTGCCCTGCGGTTGCTACAAACACGTTCTGCGGTTGGGAATGAAATAAAGCCTAAATAAACTCTACCTCGCTTCGTTGAAACATCCGCAAATATAAAATTGCAAATACTACGTTTACAATTCTAAGGCCTACACGAATATTAACATTTTATTGCTTAGTTATAACCCAATCAATAGCGATTTTGACATACAAAAGGTGGCGTAGGCACGATTTTCCTACATCATAGTTTACCTAATGAAAACTATACGTGTGACTCCGAGAGACTGCCACTTGATATTTACGATAAAACTCGACAACGTAATAAATAAACGCACAAAACCGCACAAAAAAGCCACCGAAACAGGCTAAAAAATGACATTGTCTAAGTATACTTATACTGGCAAATTAGTTCATTTACTGTAGATGTAGAGTAGTTTAAGTAGTCTGTGGCGTGCTGCTCTGAAATAATTAATGTATTACCTACTTAGGTATTATAAAACGCAGTGAGTGGCTAAATTAGTTGCCGCTTGCTCAGAATTACACGAACTTACGTACGTAAGTATTAGGTATGTAAGTATGGTGAGTCTACACAACACTTTCAAGTGCCAAATACAGTTTGGTCTCAAGTGGCGTAAGAAAGAATCGATTACCGTTCAGTTTTGCGAGCGTTTGTAGGTAAGTGACGTTACGTACTATCAGCGAAGTTGAAGCTGTACCAGTCTCAAAATAATTTTGTCCGGAGATAAAACGGAGATTGTGGCTAGCCCCGCCCTTACTCTCTTGATCCTTTTTTTGTGAAAAGCATTTGTTTATAATAAAAATATAATCTAGCCTTTCAACGCTGTTGTCAAGAATAATGTTGACAAGAATACGCAAGCTGCGGGTGACCGTTCGCCGTTGCCTGAACGAAAAAGGAATCCTTAGGGCGGTGAGGCGCCAACTTTGGCGATAGTACGTTTAAGTAACCCAGCCGCTGTGAAACCTGTGATTTAGGTGCCTGCGACGAGAAAGAGCCTATCCGAACATTGCTAAGCTTTAGAGATTGTGTATAATTCAATATTAATGCTTCGGTTAGTCGTAGTACTCACAATGTATTATGGGTTGGTTGATAGTCATGGGTGAAAGTTTGACCTCTCATTTCAAAAACCAATCAAGCAAGCAATGGGAATTGCAGTTGCGAACGAAGTGTGGAGGAAATACGCTTTGCAGTGATATTTGAAGAAACACAGAAATGTGTGAATTGAGTGTGACCCTTATGTCATCATCATCACCTATTTTAGGGCCCGCTACAGGGCACGGGTCTCTCTAAAGGTATAAACCATAGTTTGCCCTGCGGGTTGTCTCTCTTGTAGTTATTATTTATTAAACAGTTACTTACAGCGAGAAGTTAAGCAAAAGTGTTTGACATTTGATGAGCTCACAATATGTCGCAAGCTGCAATGGCGTGAAAGATTTATGGCTTACGATTGGGAGCAATTGGTATTGTGATAAACCAGAACGATGGCGCGGCGCGGCACGCGCGGGCCTCGAGTTCAACCGAGAGCGTTTTGTGTTTAGGAGACAGGTAGTGGTGTTAAGACCTTCAATGATCTTCGAAAGACCTAACTCCTAAATTGGTCGTACAGGAAATCGAATCCAGGACCTCTTCACCTAGCGCTCATCGTACCGCTCAAGAGCAGTGAGACTGCCATTGCATTCGAGTTTCTACTCTTGCTGTTTTGTAAATGTACGTAAGAGGAACTCACCTGTCGACAGCGGTGAGATGCGCGCGCACCCAGGGCGCGTCGTCCGCGTCAGTTGCGCCGGCGCTAGCGCCGACGACGTCGCGCTGCTCGCGCTCGCGGCGCAGCAGCCCCGCTAGCCACGTGTACGACTTGCTGCGCTTCATCGCGCACGCGAGCGCTTCTTCACCGCTCATCTCCCATCGCATCCGTGGGATGATGAGCCCATGAGTCGTATTGCACTTTGACACTGAGTACACTTTCACACTTTTCTTGCCTATGATTTGCCACTTAGTTAACGCATCACTTTTAACGTTGGGTTGGTTATTGAGATGACACGTTTCGCCACGTTGCACTATGTTACTGCAATGCATTCATTGCGATCACTTAGGCATCACATAGGCACGTTGTACGTTTTCTAAAAACAACGCTTAATTGAATTAATTTGTCGAAATTAAATCCTATCTCACGACACTCTCCGAAACAATAACGACACTCACCCGCCCCGCCCACCTGCTCAGCTCCGTCTGTCCGTCTATTTATTAACAAGCCGACTTCCGTCCAAACACCAATTAATTCCCTCGTTAAACTCTTCCGACTCCGTTCACATCTCTAATACAAATGTTCACGCATTGTTACGATGTTTTCGTGCAACGTCAACGACGATTCTTCCACCCACAAACTGTTGATCATGGAATAAAATTGACGTGCTATAATGGCGTCAAACAAAAATTCAAATAATGTTTTCACTCCTCGGTGAAAGGTTCAGTACACTTTTACATTTTTAAAATTATTTCTAAATGTCTACAATGAAAATCTCTTCAATGCAATTCGTGGGTAAGAGATACGAGGTTTGTAATGCTATACAATTTCCTGGCGTAAGAATGCAAACTGACTAAAGACCATTCTTAGCCACGGCGATCATACCGGTCATGATGTTGAAGAAAATCTATTAAAGCTTAATGAGGATGTCGAAGTGCCGCGGGCTGCCTCTGGCGCTGCCGCTGCAGGATGCTGCAGGGAGCGGCGGCGGCGCTGCATTATTGCTACAGCGGCGTATGCGGTGTAATGAGATTACTCGCATTTGTCTAGGTGTGACGCCTGATGTCCTCGGGCCTTGCTACATAATGTAGGTAAGTCTTTGTAAGAATTCATACGGCCTCAAATATCGTAGTCGTTCTATTAGTCTGACTAAATGTTGAATAAACTATTTGAAAACATCTTGACATGTGTGCATAAGTAATAATTTTTTGGAAAAATAATCTCTATATCTCTCGGTATGCAGTCCTCAACGATATCATCCGCCGGGCCTTTGCCACTGTTAACGTGCCCGCTATACTCGAGGCAAGCGGCATGTTGCGAACAGACGGCAAGCGCTCGGACGGAATGACTCTCATCCCTTGGAGTAGGGGCCGGACGCTGGTGTGGAACGACACATGTGCCGACACATCTCCAACATAACAGCAAGAGGGCTGGATCCTCAGCTGATCTAGCTAGGATCTCGGCTCCGACTACCTAATTACAGCCTTCGGAGTCGAAACTCTTGACCCGTGGGATCCCAGTACCCTTCATCTGTACAAAATTTTGTCCAAAAAATTAATAGACTGTCTGGGAAACCCAAGAGCCGGCTACCTTGCCCAGCACATTAGCATAGCAATACAAAAGGGTGAACGCTGCCAGCATCTAAAGCCAGCAAAATAAAAATCAAAATAATCTTTATTTCATAGGTAAGCATTATTACACTTGAAATCGTCACATTGGCTAAACTCTACCGCTCATAAGGCAGATTCCCCTGAGAAGAATGAGCAAGAAACTTTAGGGGTTGCTCTTTCTAAATAACATTTGTACACATTCAACGTTTACAATATATTTTTTTGTTTTGAAACATCAGAGATCGATACTAACTCCATGAGCTAAACGGGTTACTACATGGTTACTGCCACGGATTTTTGTCATCCAAGTACGCAGAAATTGTATAATAACCTTTAGTATAAAGTTTTTGTTTCCCTATAGTTTTAAACCTCGTGAAAGGCAAATTTTGTATATCAACCGGAATCTTGTTATAGAAGCGTATACATTGCCTCTTAAATGAATTTGTCACTTTGTGAAGACGACTATCAAGAACAGCTAGTTTATTTTATTCCTCGTATTAATGTTATGTCTGTCACTATTTTTCACAAAGAAATTACTATTCCTCTAACATAAATTACATTTTCATAGATGTACTGTGACACTATTAATTTCCTTAAACTTATCTCTCAAAGATACTATGGGGCCCAGATTGTAAATTGCACTAACCGCACGTTTCTGCAGGACAAAGATTCTATTGATATCGGCGGCATTACCGCAAAGCAAATTACCGCACCTTCTTGGGCACCTTACCACGGGACCCAATTTTATTCATATAATTTAAAAATCCCAGGTTTTACTTTCTAGTATTTTTAGCTTTTATTGTCTTTTTACCTTAGCTGTATATTATCAAAATATTAATAATAATATCATCTCGTAACGAAAGAATAAACCTACCAACACGGTTAATAAAAATATTTAAAAAATTGTTAAATTAAAAAATTATAGTATGTTATTATTAGAAAGTATCATCGTTTGTTTTATGAATTCTTAACAAGAAGGAGAGATTATCCGTTGCAGCGACGGATACTAGATGCCCCCAAGCGGAGTCTTCATGCACCCGTACCAGTTGCTGTACGCTCACGCTGCGCGGTAGCCGATGAGAAACTAAGATCGCTTTGTCGTCTGTTTCCGCCTCAGCCTATGTGTTGTGAAGACGAGAGTCGATCTAAATAATAGCTACTTATTTTATGTGAACATGGCTACCACACAACAGATGGTAAACGCTTGAGGTTCAACTTTCAAAATCTGTGTTTCAACATTACAAACAGCTATGAGACGGGCCACGGGATCCCTAAAAGCTCGTAACCTCTCGACTAGTTACCTTCACAATAGACCATCACGATTCACGCATTGCGATGGCAACCCGACAAAATGACATCATCGCAACGAATCACCGTTTTTAAACTGACGTCGAGGGATTTCGTATTATGTTTCGGAGAGTGTCAACAATGGACGTTGATGAAGCGGACACGAGTACCTGCAACAATATAAATTTACAATTAGCTTACTCATTATATTGTTTAAAAAACCATTTTTACCGAATTTATATCGAGCATATTAACATACCTATTACCTATTGTACTATGTTATATTTTCTGTATTAGATGTTTGTAGTTACCGGAGCTACGTCATTAAGGTTTCACATTCAGATAGTATATGAGCGTACTTTCAAGACTCGGGCAATGTAAGCACTGTGACAGTGAACAATCAACACGGAGGTAAAGATGGTAGAGCTTATATCAACACGAGGCGGCGCATGATACGTAAGTGTTGATATAGAAGTGTCGATTCTTCGTATGCAAAAACTTAATTTTTTTAATGTTTAGTTGTTTCGTTAGCAAGTTTGCTAAATAAAACTTATGTATTTTTTTAAAGAATATTCTATGGTTTTTACTAAGTTTTATCACAGAGACAGCAGTTCCATCAACGAAAGCAAATGTCTTTTCAGTTCCTTAGCATAAATAATCTGAGTAAAAAAACTATGTAGACATCGGAGCAATGAAAAAGTTAGATTAAAACGATATGCAAGTTTAAAAATATAAAAAATGGGTTAAATATTATAAGTAGTTTCCAAGATATAATATTAAGATTAACTCCAAAAATACCAAAACACACAAACAGCCGAATCACATTTCAACGTTTGAGGCGGACGTTTTAGTTGAAAACATTTTGAAGATGTTGACTGACAGCTACGTGTGAAGTTGAGCTCCTACCGCGGGTCAATCGCCAACCGACAGCTTACAACAGACGTGAAGTGAAGCGTGTAGCGAAGTGTTTGATCGGCGGAGAGTCGCGCGGCGCGGGCGCCACGGCTTCGCGGGCAACGGGCCGCAATCGAAAAAGCCTCGACTCTCGAGTGTCTCGTTTAACACTGCATATAATTGAACTTGCCTTGGAGAGATGAGATGATGCTTTTTCAAATGACCACCCAGGTTGCTTCTATTATTTTCATTGTAATCATACGTACGTACATAGGTACTTGTTTATACTTTTTCAAACGGTTTTTTTTAATCGTAAACCTGTAAAGTGAAACTCGGTGAATGTTAAAACAATTCAAGAATCTTATTATTAATCGTGCCCTAGATCACAAAACCCAATCACTTGATCGAGAAGTGACGAAACGAAACTCATTGTTGAATTCCCACAACAAATCAGCTCCAAATGATAGTTGTTATCGACTTTCAAAAGTACTCCCGAGGGCCGGCGGCGGCGGCGCGGCGCGGCAAAAACCGATGCAGGAGTTAATGGGTTATAAGGAAACGCTAGCCAGCGCCGGCGACGACGTCGAGGCAGCTTTACTGCGGGAGAAAGTAATGTTCGTAAAAAGTTTACTGCAACATGACTGCTACTCCTTAGTGAATTAGCAACGGCTTGTTGTGTCGCTCCTTACATGTAAATCTAACTTTAATTTGTACTTGGCAAGCTATGTAAGGTAACATACAACATTGCGAAAAACCGGAGACTAACATCAGGTGAGATTGTGGTCAAGCGTGTGACTATTATACATATATTAACAAAAAGACTACCTACATGTAAAGTACGAACTACTCTTATTGCAAGTTGGGAGTTTTTAATATTACTAACAAAATACATTACTTTCCTAAAGGTGAGCACATGGGTAGCAGGGTACTGTATGTACTGTGACGTAGTAAGTACTTTGAAGTGCTGCAAATAAGGCACGAAAGGTAAAAAATTACATCATCACCGTTTCCGTCGTAATGATCAGCTGAAAATCGCCGTGTCATCGCATTACTCCAAAGTAAGCAACAAGCTTGAGTAATAAATTATACTAAATCACACGTTACGTGGGTGCTGCTTCTGCCGGTGCAACTCTCTGCACCAGACGCCGGCAGATTGGGTTATTTTTCATTGAGCTCTTCGCTCTACTTGGAACCTTTTTTCTAAATTATTTATTGACTCTTAAAGAGACGTGACGAGATTTTAATGGAAGCGCTACATTATATGCAACAATTATCCCAACCGTATTGAATCATGAAATCACAGAACTTAATTTAACACATTTAACTATTTGCATTAAAACAAAACTCGACAGCAGACAAATCCAGTTGAACCGTTGATCCATCAAAGTCGCGGTCGCAACTATCGTGTTCTGATAACAGTAATTCGACATCGAAGGACGAGATAACATCTCGTGGTGTAGTTTCGAGAAACTGGAGTGGGCTGGTGATGGTGTAACGGGAGATGATTTTGGCAGTCGATATGGATATGACTTTGTCATATTTTGAAATTTTTATATTGGAATCAAATTAAAAACCGTTTCTGATATGTATTTTATGAACTATAACAGTATGACACCACAACAAAATACAGCAATGATTCGGGAAGTAATTTGTCGTCTCACACTTTCTAAGTAGCGGTTTGTATTATCGCAGGTAAGCATGCTACCTGAAATGGAGCCAAACTAAAGATAATTAAATCAATTTGTCAAGTTTAAGAGATATAGATTAAAATTAGTGACAATATTCGATAATTTTCAACTGTGACGCTGTATAGCATTATGATGATTGTATAATTATCTCCTGGTGCACATTATATTCGTGGGCCGAGTTCCCGGTGGCCGAGGTCGAGTTAGCGGTCGTGTTTTTACTGTCCGCCCACTGCATGCGCACTCGCAAGTCGAGCTCTCTGCAGGGAGCGACGCTAGGCCCTAGATTAGTCTTTATAGTTGCTCGAGTCAGCTTTGACGCTTCTGGTTGATAACATCAAAGTAACTGGATACAATGCTTAGTCGTGTTTATTGTTTGTATCAATGAAATTGGAAAAACTGTAGTGACGCAATACTAACATGCAGATTCCGTTTCGAATCAGGTTAACGATAAAGTGGAAGGATCGGCCAAATGTTTTTTCTGTACTCGTTAGTTAAGATTAACGCGGCTACGTTCCAAATTGTCTCAATGTTGTATTAATTATTATTTTAATCGATGTTCGAAATACGAAGCTCCTGTGACGAACTTCACGTAGTAAAATGAAATTGATATATAAATTGTGTTGATGCTAAGGAATTCGATAAAAATGTGAGTGCTGAGGTTAATGTGCGTTCAGTTCTTATCTGAGAATGCATAAATGGCGATGTATAATGCTATTTTGTGATAGGTACAGTAGAAGAAGCGCGAGAGTAGAGTGCTTGCAGTAGCAATGTGGTCTAACAGAAAAATATGTAATGTACTGTTACGTGACATAGAGAGACGAATAGGGTGACCCGTGAACGAAATGGTGGATTTAGGACAAAAATAGAAAAAGATTTGAGCACAAGAAGAGGGTGAAGTAAAATATAGTGGCCAAAGAGATATGTAGAGCCAACGTGGAAGGCAACATTAGAAGCAGACGGCCCCTTCCCACATTCTCAGATCAAATGTTAAATGTTTTTCAAAAGGTTGTAGTGCGTAGTTAAAAAAATAAGAGTGTATGAAAAGATTGATGAATGTAATTAAAACAAGAAAGATTTGCTTTTAGGTAAGCAAAGACGAACCACAGTCGTCATGGACTTTGCTTACCTCAATGGAAATCCAAACATGTGAATATATATACACCCACAAACCTAAAAATTATTTAAACAAGGACGCCAAGATACTTGACTAGATACTACGTATTAATATTACTTAAAAACGATAGTATCAAATCAGGTACTATTTACGCAGTGTTGATTTCCTATAGATAAAATACACAAAAAGGTATACTCGAGCGCATTGTTTGCGGTTGGCGGAACCCGATCCATTACGACACTGTCGAGCCGCGGACCCCGACGGAGAAGCGACATAAACCCCGCTCTAGTTTGAAGAGCAATTCACGGAGAAGAAAAATCTGGACAAGCAAGCTCAATAAAGAAGCATATATTAGATGTCAACTGTAGCTAACTAAGAAATTTAAGTCATAGGTATATGACGCCACCGGAATTCGAATTGTCAAGCACTAAACTGAATACCGTAAGTAACCGTTGTCCCACTTCTTAAGGCATCGGAAGGCATCTTCCGGTTATCAATTTATTTTGTAAATAATTATGTTTTTTTTAAATGTTGCACATTTGTGCGTACGAATAAGTTCATTGATTTCTACTGACAGTTTTTAGATCCTACAATTTAAGGCTCAATAAAATTCAAACTAAAAGCTGCTCGGTTCCTAATTTCACATATATAATACTTCAATTCCTTTGCCGTGGATTTTAATAACGCATTAGTAAGCGCAGTAGCAAATCGATGTCCAACGTGATAGTCCCGAGCTCGAATAATGCAGTTTATTGACGGCTCCTGTTACAAAGATGGTCGCCGGCCAACTCCAGCGACAGCAACAACGTGAACATATAAATGGAACCAAAGAGAGATATAAGATTGCAACTGATACTGCATAAACGTTAGAATTCATTCTAGTACACCGTAAAATGAAATGTAAAAAAATGGGATAGCCTTAAACCTAATATGAAATTTGAAAGATCCAATAACATTAATAATAAAAAATTTAACATAAACAATATAATATTTGAAGGGTCGAGGAAAGCAAAACATTTACAATTATAATAAAACAAAGCAAATATACCTAACAATAGGTCTTTACCTATTGTACCTGGACAATAACTTATGCTCAAACGAATACATACATTTGTATCAATATGCAAATAGTGACGGTGGTACGTGAAGGAGCGCGTCCGGTGGTGCAGGCGCGGGGCGAAGGTGCGGGGCAGCCGGTATGCGCCCGCGCAAGGGCGGGCAAGGCCGCGCGGGTCGTGAACCTGCCACACGGACACGGGTCCTAGAGCTTTATGCTGTAAACCCACCCACATCTATTCAGCTTTAGATTTTTACCACAGTTCTGTGATTTTATAATATTATATGCTACACTTTGGGTTTGATTTGATCAAATACTGGCTTTTTTATAACAACGTATTAGCAGTTTTTAATTGTTGTCACTCACTTGATCAACTTTTCTATTTGTACAGTGAACAACGCAGTGGTTCTGAATCAA